AGGGGAGGAAAATGCCTTTCCCTGAGATCTGGTTTAGAGATTACAGATGAGATTTCCCAGCAATGCTCTGGTGATGACAAGGCAATCCCAGTGTGCATTGCTTTGCCAAACTGAAGTCATTTTACCCTTTCAAAGCAGGAAGTGAATGCTCTGCAAGTGTAAGTATTTCAGAATCACAGCATTTTACACCTGACATGTCTATGTTATTACTAATCATCATACATAGGAGGATGCATTGGTAGAATTTGATTTGCCAATGTGAAGGTCTGCTTTTAAAGTGTTCAAAATCTGTTTTTTTAGTATGTTCTGCATAATGTCTTATTGTATACAGTTTTCTTAAACAATCATTTTTACACATTGCCAGTAGAACTATATGCTTCTCATAATGATTCATGTGTTATATGTTGTGGCCACTGTTACTCAAATATAACTGGGCCTGTCCACCTGATACAGTATCTGATATCGCCCAGTCTATCAGTCTGCCCTCTCTAGTTGTTGAATCCATCACTTTTGTAAAATTAGCTGTCTTTTAATGTGAGATCAAATCTGCTTCCATTACTAGAGACAATAACTTTCCTGTCCCAGTTGATGCTGTTAATGGGTAATTGAGATTTAACCGTTCTTTTTAAATCTGGGCCCCCTAAGGGCATATAATAGAAAAAAAAAAAGGATTTGGAAGGCATTCAAAGCGAAATGTCTAAATTAAACAAAAAACTTCAGTATGGTACAAACATACAGACAAATCCATTATACATACAGTTTTAACATTGTCAGTTGGTGTATATATTGGCATTAAAAGGTATATGCTTCCCAAATATAAGCGAATGATCGCAGATTACACCTAACATGGCCTAATCCCCAATCGCAGTTTACTGGTTTTCTATTCTACAGACAGAATGGCTATTTAAGGAGGCACTGCCTTATTTCTTATTCAGGACACCGTGACAGTGCCTTCTGATATAACCCCCCCGGGAAGGTTTACTCACTCATCAGTGCTCCCTTACCTCTTCTTTCTGTTCTTTCTGCTCTATCATTTGCCTTTTGGGCCTGAGTGGCCAATCGATTGCCTGTAAAGTGTCATGTGGGGGTAGCAGTGATGTTATCCACCTGGGGTAATTTCTTGCATGAAGCAATACAGAAGCTTAAGGTGCCCATACACTGCACGATTCTTGTATGAGAATCGCGGGAAATCTCGGGATCGTACGAGAATCGTGCAGTGTGAATGAAGACGTGTGACCGTTTCCACTGTACGGTCGCACGTCTTTTGTCTAAGGAGCATGCTAGAAAACCAGCCGAGAATCGTACGATTTTCGGCTGGTTTTTAGCATGATCGTAAGATCAATACCGCACGGACCGGTGTGCACACGCGCACACTACCCGTTCAGCATTGCGGTCATCGGAAGCCCGCCCCTCAGGGGGGGCGGCCTTGCGATGATCGCAAGTACGATCTGCCTGTCCAAGATGGGCAGATCGTACGTTTTTTAAAATTACTTTATAACCATCGCAAGACTAAGGTCTTGCGATGGTTGTAAAGTGTATGGCCTCCTTTACTCAGAGTGGACTTCTACAATGGGCAGGGGGAGAGGAGTATGGATTAGTAAGGCCTACAGAGCGGAAACAGGCTCCAATGCCATCTTAAAAGCTATCTGCTGTGGGTAGGGTTTTCACAGGGCAGTAGGGCAGCGGCTGTCTGGCATTCAGGAGGCAATACTTCTTCTTTTTTTTTTTTTTTTTTAGAGGGATTTGTCATTGAACGACCACATCTCAACCAGCACATGGCAACAGCTCTGTCCTATTTACTTCGGTGGTTGTGTTTGACAGGCAACTCTGTACCGCCTGCCAAACACAAAATGCTGTAAAACTTGCCGCAACCAAAAGCATTGCTGCCATGGCAATATGTACAGTACTGTCTGTACGGCCAACTAATAGATTATGAAAATAACCATTATTTGCAGACTTAGTCTCATCAGTGTAATCAATTTTTTGTTTTTTTTATGAGAAATTAAGAATTTGCATAAAATAATTCTAGGTATATATCCACCTTAATTCAGTATTTAACATTTTTTGTTAAAGACATGTGATCCTATTAAGATTGGTTTCATGTTGTTGTTCAGGACTGGAAATCATTTCTGTTTATGCAATTGACTTAACTCTGCTTCTCAACTATAAATAAAACATTTTTCTAAAATACCGTTGATGCAGGAAATTCTGGTATATGCTTTTCAACACATTTTAACACATCGCTATTCATTGTGAGGTATCCTACAGAGCAGTAAGTGCTTTGAGAATCCGGTGTAGAAACTGCTTGGAGTTCAATTAACTTAGTAATTCCCTCCAGGTTATTGATCAGAAGCCAGAAAAAAATGTAACTTGCTTGAAATGTAAAATTTTAGCTAGGTTTATGCATGAGTAGCAATGATGTTATTGACCAACATGCAGTAGTTATATGGATTCCTAGAAGCTCCATGACTTAGTGGCTAATGCGCCTGGAAGTGGTTAAATTGGCACTCTTTCCCTATATAGTGACCATGCTAAGTGGCTTATTTTTATAGCATTGATTGAACTATAGATCATATAAAAATGTTTTTCAGCAAAAGTTTTCCTTTTCTTTTATTGAAACTTTCACATGCTAAATTACAGTTAAAACTAAATATTTAATTTTCCATTTGTGGCTATATGCTAGGGATTTGTCACTAACTCTTATAATGTAAGTTAAGGAAAATACAGATTTGTCACATTCAAAAAGTAAGCTGATCTTTCTACATTATGACTTGCAACGTTTTTTTTCTGCACTGTCTCTGTGTGACATCAGTCGTCTTGGTAGAAGCAGGGTTTGGCTTCCTCATGTTGCAGCCTCAAACAAGGAGAATAGTGAGCAGTAAAGCAGTGACATAATTAGCTTTTCTAGATGTTCCATATAACATAGCAAATCTTTAAGTTTTGAATACAGGACCTTTTAAAGTCCTACCTACATGCATTATGTTGTAAGCATCCATACTCTGTCCAAACCTCAGTTGAAGGGGCAAAACATGATGGTCTTGACTGCTGGTTAGTGTATTTCTCACTCCTTTTATCAGGAGTAAGTAGTGTTAAAATAGCAGACTAATGACCAATATCGACTAATAGTGCAGAACTGTGCCGTGGTGAAGGATCCCTTGCTGCCTCTCTGCGCATGGCTGAGAGCCAGAGGCAGCATCACCTGCCCCCTCCATGGTTGCTAGCTCCAACAGCAGAGGAGCAAGAGGGGAATCCTTTCTGGGGGTGTATTGTAGCTGACGGTTACTACTGTAAGCTGGGAGCAAAGACCTAGAACTAAAGACTGCTCAGCGGTTACATGATCAGTCGGCTCTCGGCCTTAGAGCTGGCATGGGACTGCTGCAGTGTCACATGGACGCTGAAGCATTGGGGTGAATATGCATGTGTAAAGCTCTATTCAATTCTCCTTTATTGTGTTTCTGGGACCTCCAAGCTAAAATATAGCTAGGATCTGTTTTAAATTTTCTAAATTTTATTTATTGTTAATTCTTCGATTTGCTCCAAATGAGACTAAAAACAGATAAATAAAAATAATAGGATGAAATCTTGTAGTGCTCTTGATTTCAATGTCATGCTTGTGTATTTTGTAAACAAGCAACTAAAGGCAATTGGGAGCAGGTAGTACTTCCTAAAACCCAGCTCTCCTGACATCTTGAAGATGTTGACTTTTAGGCCTGGTTCACACCTGGGCGTTTTGTAGAGCGTTTGAACGCTCTGCAAAACGCTCAAACACCGAAATCCCATTATTTCCTATGGGTATGGTTCACACCTGGGCGTATTACAGGCCCTTTGAACGCGCTACAAAACGCCCTACGCCCAAAGAAGTACAGGAGCTTCTTTGGGGCGTTTTTGTAGCGCGTTTCAATTGGGATACAGCCAAGTAGCCCTCGGAAACGCGCGTTCGTCGTGCATTTTTTTAACCGCAAATCGGGGTAAAAACGCGCATCACGAAACGCGCATATTCGATACGCCTAGGTGTGAACCCAGCCCTAGAGTGGCATCATTATTTAAGTAGATTTAAATGTTGGGCAAAGGACTTTAATAATGATTTTGGTAGATCATATATTTTTTTTTTTTTATGTCTGCAGATTGCTTGGTGAAAGGTTTCATGAGCATATAATATAGGTGAATGAAGCTTTAGTCCGATTTACTAAATTGATCATTTTAACACCAAATTTACTACCAGATTATAGCTCAAAATCTTTTAAGCTGCATGTCGGCTTATTTGTTATCTAAAAAAGAAATGTATTACTAGAGGCTGTATATGACCTCTTCTTTAACTTAAAATGCTTTCGCACCAGATTTGGACTGCTCTAAGTCCTTTTAAATGTTATAGCTTGCAACTTTTTCAATAACAAGCAAGTTTGTAGGGGATGTTGTTTTTAGACTTTTTTTTTTAGTATCATTGGTGTAGAAAATGCTGCAATTGTTTGTGGACGATTGTTCCTGGATGCAAACAGTCTGTGTCCTGGTGTGATGGTCGTCAGGTAATTGCAGCATGTGCAGTTATATGCGAATGGCCTGCATAACAGCTGCAGGCGGTAGCAGCTGTCATTGTATTATACAGCGCCTCCTACTCGCAGCTGATTGTAGTGTCCATTTCTCCTGTATGCAGCAGCATAACCCATATGTCTCAGAAAACATAGAATTTCCTTCTGATCACAGGTTTTGTTTTAATGATTTAACCCTAAAAAGTATAGTTTTCATAATGTTGCCTATAAAGTAAGCAGGCTCCTGGTTTTTCGCTTTTATGTTTGTGGTCGTTTTTTTATTTGTTTGTTATTGCAAAACTTGGTTATTGCAAGTGGCTGTTGAATCTTTGTGCTGAGATAGGGCCAGCACAAGGCAATAATGTTTTCTTGTCCCGGTTATGTGAAGCTCCTGCCATGTTTTAGTATTTTTATTGGAGATTATTGCAATCATTTAGAATTACACTCACATTAGCTTCCTTTCTATTTTCATAGCTTGACAAAAACAATTCCGAGGCCTCCAACAACACCTATAAAGCTAAAAAAAGTCTCCACTTTCCAAGAGTTTGAAAGCAACACAAGCGATGCATGGGATGTTGGAGAGGACGATGATGAACTTCTAGCCATGGCAGCAGAAAATTTAAATACTGGAGTTGTTTTAGAAACGGCAAATAAAGTTATTCAAAACCATACGAAATTACAGGAGCAGAACAAATTCCAAGAGATCAAACAGCTGGGGGACAGACCTGTGGCGCCTGAAGAGCTTTCCTCACATGTGACCAGTGATAACAAGATTGTGAAATCAGCCAGTGAGAGCCAGATCCCCAAATCATCTGGTATGTACTCAAAAGTGTCGTTATTTTTAATCTTTTCTGAAGGGGTGAAACATTGTGGAAACAAATATATGTTTGTACTGAGGACTGCAATTTTTTTTTTTAAATAATGAAAAGCCAGAGTGATACTCTACATATGCAACCATAGAGCTGTCTTGGGATTTTACATTCACAGTTCTTATTACAATGTGTCTAATTCTTATTTAGTCCAGATAAATCATATACTTGTCTGGCACAGATCATATAGGATAGCTTTAGTTTATCCGATTAATCGATTAATCAAACTTAATAATCGGCTAACTAATCGATTTTGAAAATAATCGTTAGCTGCAGCTCTACTTTTTTCATATTACAGCAGTGTGGAAATACTGTATGGACTGCTGAAGTGGGTATGTGTGACTTGGTATCAAACCTCATTAAAGTCTATGGGAGCAGAATTTTGCTATTTTTTTTTCTTTTTCTAGCTTTTTTTTTTTTTTAGGCTAATGGGCAAGCTATGTTTTTGGAAAAAAAAGGCTATGGGTAGCTGGGCACTGCCATAGGGGGACATGCACCAATGCAAAAAAAATATTTTCTTTATCATCAAGTAAAGGGCACAGTGAAGAGTAGTAATAATTCTGGGACATGTGGATTATATTGCCACCTACATTACAGTACTACAGTGCCCTAAAAATAAGCTATTATGTTATTGACATAGGATTCTTTAGATTAACTAGCAATCAAAGGGGCTGTAAGTTAAATAAGTGGTCTATGAATTACTGTAGTGAATTGGAACAGAATAAAGCAAGGGGAGCCATAAGTTCAACAAGTGTGAGGGGAGAAAAGGGGGTTGGTGGTGCTTTAAAGTAGGAAGAGGGAGGAAGGGAGAGAGAAAAGGGGGAGTAGAATAAGGGTCAAGGAGGTGGAATTCAGAAATGGGGGACTATAAAATAAAAAAAGTAGGTGTGTGTATGAAAAAAATAATTTGGGCACTATTTATTTCAACTCTAACATATCTATTAAGGAGACAAGGCAGACATAATCTTACTGTAAGTTGAAGTAGTTTTAGTTCTTTCATGTCAGAAATTCTATCAATCTCAAAAAACATTCTCTGAGAGGGGGGCGGAGGAAGACTTCCAATGTAGTGGTATGATTTGTTTGGCTGCATTCAGCATGTGAAATTTCAATAATTTCTTATATTTTCGAGGAGCTTCAATAGTATGGTGTAGTAAACATACTGTTGGAGTAAAACTCAACAGGTCACCAGCAATGCTAGAGATAAAGTCTTTGACTGACCTCCAAAAAGTCTGAATTCTCGGGCACGACCACCATATATGTAGGAAGGATCCCTCTTCCTCTCCCTATCTCCAACAGAGGTGGCTACAAGAAGAAGATCGAATTTAAAGTTATTTTCCTGTGTGTAGAGGTTTTTTGAACTTTTAGCTGTATTCAGGCTTATGTTCTCCCACTCTTGGCCAAAAAAGGTAATCCACAGGTCCCTCTCCTCTTAAGGGTTATTAAACCCTCTGGTTTTTGTTGCATACATCTGCTGCTAGCAAGCAGTAGATATATGCAAAAACTTAAATTAAAAAAAAAAAAAAAACATGCTTTAAAAAGGGTTTAAACTTACCTGTGTCTTTCCTGTGCGCTGCCGTCCGAAAATCTGAAAATTCTCGGGCGGGCACATGCGCAGTTCAGATTTTCGTCCGGGAGACGAGGAGAAACACAAGGTAAGTCTATAGACAGCGTGCGCCCGCATGCAGACACCATGGGACAGGAAGTGCCGGCAACCACAGGAGTCAGCGCTTGAGAGAAGGCTGAAAACGACAGGAAAGAAGATTGGATTAAGAGGCATCATTTTAGGTAAGTGCTTACATTAACATTGGGGGGAGGGAAAAAAATGTATCCTTTTTAATGTCCCTTTAAGTTTGTCAGTTACCAGTGAGGCAGGGGTTAGAATAAGTCTTGTTGTTTATATACTTTGAGGTCTTTTTTCACACTGTTGGCAAGGGGGCAGTAAAACCACAAGGTTGATCAAGTTTTCTTCCACCCCCAGCTGCCCACTTATATGGTAGTACTGCGGCCGAACAGTGCTGTAGAGATTGCTGCAGCCACGATGCTTTGCGTGACAGCACAGCAAGAAATATACAGCATGTTGCGTTTGACAAGTGGTGCCTCTTGTCAAACGTAAAAATTGCAATAAATTCGAACCATGCCGCAATTGCATTCTGCAATAGAGAATCCCCTCAGAGATTAAACCCCCGCCCCCCCTGCTTTCAGGTGGCAGTAGTATCACCTTTTGAACACCGGGCAGCTCCACCGCCCTGTTCAAACCAGTCCACCACGGATCTCTTTTCAGAGGGTGATGGGCACTGCAACCCATTTGAACAAGACCCAAATCCATGTCAGGTTTTATATTAACTTCCTGTATTGAATAACAAGAGTTCCCATTTGGGAAATTCTCAAATATTTCAGCGACGACACGTTTTGTATTCCTTATCACTTTTTTATTTTTATTTTTAAACTTCATATTTTTATTCAGTTATCAGAATCAAAAAGAAGTTTACAACATCAACATTGCATAGAATAATGTAGTACCATATACAAACATTGTATGGTGTAACAAAACATCCAGCAAACTAGGGATATAAATCTCTTCAGGCCAACATAATATCACAATAGGATAATATCATCAATGGCATGTCAATAGAAATAATTCTATAATGCATCATAAAGTAGAATAAGAAAGGAGAAATCTTTTAATAGAAGGCATCCTAGTTCTTATTGCAGTGGTATCCATTCAGTGAATTGTAGAACAAAGAGGGAAGGTACTATCCGTGGCTGAAGTAGAGATGGTAAGAAGCAGGAATAAAAGACCGCAAAGATAGAGAAAAAAATTGGAGAACAAAGGGGGAAAGGTAATGTACAAATAGGCTCTATAGTATGTTAAAGTGGTGGAGGTCAAATAAAAGGGTGAATTCAAATTAGAGCTTATGTTGAGAAAACGGTCAATCAGTGGATGTATTCCAGATTTTGTCGTTAGAGAAAGTTATCCAAGCATCCCATCTATGGTGTGAAAGTCTTTTTGAGAGGAATGAATGTTCCAATCTTTTAGTCTAGCAAGATAACAGGACCAGTAGTATTTTTCTATATCTGAGAGTCCTATGCCTCCATGTTTGAGAGCAGTTATAAATTTAAGGGCTAGTCTAGGTATCTTGTTCCCCATAGGAACCAGCGAAAAAGGGCCTGTATTGATCTAAAGAAACTCTTTGTTAAAGAGATTGGATTAGTTTGCAATACATACAAGATTTGGGGGGGATATTGTTTTTCAAAATGGCAGATCTACCAAACCATGAAATGGTCGGCTTATACCAATGTCCAAGATCTTGTCTGATGGAGTTAAGTAATTCGGGGAATATTCAGATTATATAGCGCAGAAAGGTCAGCGGGCAATCTTATTCACAAATAAGGGCTGTGGGAAGATTTCAGATAAATGCAAAGAGGTGTTGGCATTCCTCAACAGTGGTAGTTGGAAGGGATATGTTAAAGGCCAATGATTTAGTCTAATTAATTTTAAAGTAAGAAATAGATTGGAAGTGGCGGAATGCATTCATTAGAGAAGGAAGAGATTGCAGCGGTTTTGACAAGATTAAAAGGAGATAGTAGTATGCGTGCGTTCGTGGGAGTCAGGGAACTCTTTTCGGCTATTTTTAATTTTATCTAATTTTTTTTTTTACTACTTGGTTATCACATAGGGGGCTCACAAGCCCCTGTGTGATAGCTTTTGGAGGTGTCAGGTTCTCTTTATTGACCCTGTCACCTCCAACACAGGAGTTCTAGCACAGCACTGTGCTCGTTCTCCTGTGACAGGAAGGAGTTCTCTGCTCCATGCTCTCTAACCTAATTTATTGTAGTAAATCCCTCACAAGAGGGGGGGACCCCAAAGCCCACGTGCAGAAAGAGGCAGCCGGGAACGGTACACGCAGGCCGTCGTGATTCAGGCAGGTTACAAGTGATTTTGGACGGCTGTACAGCCGTTTTTAAAACTACTTGTAGTGTGCGAGCCGTTTTGTACATTTAGCCGTGCAGCCTGCCCGCAGTCGGGCTAAATGTAGAAAAAAACTACTCACCCGGCGCCCATAACCACCTGTCCTGGGCGTCAGGCGATAGGAATTCTACACCCTTGATCCTTGCATAATTTAGATGCTCAGACTTTCCTTTTGTAGCTTCACTCTTAACTCTTAAAAACAAGCAACTTTATTTTACTCCTTCTTCTGGCATTATTGCTTCCCACTTTGCTATTTTCTAGAATAGCAACCAGCACCCTGGAATGTCTGATTCTTACCTCCGGTAGGCATCTTTCTCTGGCAGTGTTTTTCCTCATCACACAACCCTGTTCCCCGAGGGAGGGATTTTCCATTACAGCTCCTTTCCACAGTAACATTGACAACATCTCAGTTTGTGTGAGCTTTGCACTTCAGTTTTCTTCTGAATTAATCTGAAATAGGGTTATGGTGCCAAAATTCCTAAAAATGTATCGATTTTTTTTTTTTTCTTTTCATTTTCAAATCTCAACTGAACAAACTGAAGAGATATGCTGATTGGTTGCTGTGGGCAACTGCTCCAGATTTTGTCTGCTCCAGTTTTGATAAATTCCCCTCTATGACGTTTATTGGTGTAGTCACAACCTTGGTTAATATGTGTTTCTTCTCCATTGGGAAGTGTAATGGTTCTGTGGGAGCTAACAACATTACATGTCTATTTAACGAACAAGCGACTTGCAAGGTAATAATAATTGTTTTATATTTCTTAACCACTGACTCTAATTACAGATAACTTTTGCAACCACATACCACAAAGGATCAAACAGGCAGAAAGCAAATTTAAATGTATCTCTGAATTACTATTTGGTTTTCTCTCCTAATTGAAATGATAATCGTGTTGTTGGTTTGTTTCTTATGCATTTGTAGTTTATGCTTCTGATTGGTTGCAGAGGAGAGCATTTCT